TTTATTAAAACTGATAAGAATTTAAACAATGATTTTAAACTCAAAGTTCGTGATATTTAATTATATTTCAAGTGATATTCTATTAATTCACTAAAAATGGTAATTATATTTCATTTTAAAGTATTATCTAATCAGCAATAGTTTAAACGAACGAACGTTTGATAGTTTTCAGGAATTGTGTAAAAAATAATTATAAGTTTTAAATAATTAAATTTTATATAAAACTTATAATTTATAATTAAATTATAAGTTTTAAATAAAATATTTTATAAGTTTTAAATAATTCTTTTTGTGTGTGTGTGTTTGTGAAGCAGCTCAAGAATTTAAAATTATCGGAAATATTTTTAACAAGTAAACTTTTAGTTTTGGATTCGATTAAGGATCAACATATACCATAATTAATATATACATGTATACATAATTTTCTTAAAATGTACGACATTGTAAAATATATAAATATTTCTATTAAGATATTTTTCAAAAAAATTTTATTCGCAAGTAATAAAATAAAAATTACTTTTAGAATATTTCAAAAAATACTTAAAACTGTAGTAAATCACAAAACATATTAACATTAAAATGATGCTCCATATATTTATAAATTTACCTAGATTTCTAACGAAACATTGATCAGAGATTAAGCATCTATACGCCTCGAGTAGTTGTGTTGAGTTTGGACAGCTATAAAATAAAAACAACACAAAACCTGCAACATAAAAACACACACACACAATTGCTATTTATATGAAATAGCAATTCTGTGTGTTATTAAATGAAAAGAATGGTATGCAAGGTCGACTCAGCCCATCAGCGTTTTAGTGGGTCGATAAAGGAGAACCAAGCTTACGTGGAGATTAAACACTGGGGATTTTCACCTCAGACTGACCACCTGACCGGGACATCTGTTCGTGCATCCCAGTGCCCAAGGTCACGAATACCGATATGGGCACAGTAGGCCTTGGCTCTCATGGGCTGTGGCGCCCCTGAGTTAAGTTAAAAAATGGAAAATCTGCTTTAATGTCTTACTCATAAGTATTAGCACACCAAAATAAAAGCTGATATTATAAAATTGTTCTTGTTTTCTAAAATTATACTTGTTCTCCCATAGATGACAAAATTGCGGAACAAGAGAAAACTGTCACAAACAAAATAATTTTACCCTTTTTCGTACTTCTTAAGTGTTATACTTAACAATTTAAAATTTAAGTGATTTTAGTGATTCAATTTTTTTTTACAGAAGCTTAGTTTTCATGATGTCTTAGAACTTAAATTGTGCATGCATTTTCAAATTTAAGTAGTACATAGCCCATAAAGGAAGAAAGTTTATATTTTTATATATACCGTAAAATCCGGGGCATATATATATATATATATATATATTTTTTTTTTTTTTTTTTTTTTTTTTTTTTTTTTTTTTTTTTACTGTATATATATAACATGCACTTTTCACTCAAAATATAATATCCAGATTTACGGGTGCATGCTATACGCCTGGTATAAAAATGATTGCTCCAAAAATAAACAAAAGGATAAATATTAAAAAATTATACTTCTACATATAGATTGGAATACATCTAATTTATAAGATATGCCATATCTAATGAAAACTTAATGGGTTGTGGTTCTAGTATATACTATTTTTTCCGAAGTCTGGGATAATACCTCGAATAAATGATTTCAAAATATAAGAGTATTGCTCTCGTACAGTTCAGGTTTTTTTGTAAATAAAAGAAGGTACGCGTTATTCGCGGAATATATCCAAAATCTAAAAAATGCAGCTTGAAATTATAGGTCGGCGTTATACAACCGACTTTGCGGTATTCATAAAACATTTTAGCTTAATTGAAAACAAAGTTTTTTTTAAAAAAAATTGAAATTTCTAACTCTGAAATTCATGCCGTATTTTATTTGACTGAATTTAAAACAGTTTATTTTTTTAAGTTGACCACTTATAATTTAACCTTTTACAGTTCATAAACTGAAATTGACGATGATAACTACTTTTTCATACTTTACGCACAGTAAAAATATATTAAAATGTTTATTTATTTATCACACACACAATCAGTAACATACAATCTGAAATTTCTAAGGCGCTTTAAGGACTTTCGAAGCATTAAAGAAATATTCTACTCCCTTACCGTATGATATAAAACAAGCAATAAAAGAGAATTAATTTGATTCAAGCTGTGAAATAAAGGAATTTATTTATTTACTCAAGCTTTTGTTCTTTTCAACTGGATGAAGAAAGCCAGAGAAAAAGGGAACAAATGTCATTAGAAATGTCACAGGATTCGTTAATCTGATTATCAGTCACTTGAAGAACTAATTTAATGAATGAGAAAACATAAATATTTTCATTCATTGCGAAAGCAATTGTTGCTAATTGCAATACGGTAGATGGTTTTGATGATATGATTATTGTCTTTAAGTAAAATGTTTGCAAAATTCAATATCTTCCAGAAAATTGTATTACGTTTGATATTTTTTACCTTTAATGTGGTGTGATATTTATTAAAAATGACGTAATACTTTTATTAAAAAATATTTTGTAAGTTTCATTAAAAAACTTACAGAATGTGATTAAAACTAAAATTAGTATACGCAATTTTTTATTTTAAAGTATCCGAATACATGAGAGTAAATTTTAAGAAATGCCATATTAAAACAAATTCTTTTTAGGGATCAATATCTATAAATATTCAAATTCAAAATTTTATATATGTAGCAATGTTCGAAGTAAAATACCCAAATTCTACAAAAATCACAATTATAAATGGAATTTTAGAAATTTTTATAAAAAAATTTTTTTAAAGCAGTAAGAGAAAAAAGGAAGTGCACCTAAGTTTTAATGTTCTATCTAAACATAAAAATTTTGAGCTTATCGGATGAATATTATGAGAAACCTGACATATTTGTGAGGCTAATATTGAAATAACCAGTCCTAACTCAAAAAATATTCGTACATTAAGAATTATTTTAAGTGTATTCCATACAAGTAATAAATATGTTCAAAAAGTTTAATACAAAAGTTTTATACATTTCTGACATTTTGAGTAATCAGACATGTCATGAGACAGATAAATTTTAAACAATTTAAATTACCAGTTCTGATAAATTAAAGACTCACTTCCAGTTTTTCTAATTTTAAGTAATTTATTGCAACTCGGCCTCTGTGTAGCGTAGAAATAAAATAATGCATATTTTGTACGTGTAAGGCGAAAAGATTACTTTTTGTGCAATAAAACAATTATGATTGAAATTTTGATTATTTCGAAACAATAATTTAAGCTTAAACAATAAATGAATTTATTTTTAATGCTTCTTGAAAACTATATATTTTCTTTATGCATGGTTTTACTTATGGTTAGATTTTCTTTTTACATTGCTGTCTCCGTAGACGAAAAAGGTATTAAGCCAAATTAATGTTTTTAGTATGATCACATTCATTCTATAAGTAAAATTAATACCTGTTTAGATACTTACATGCTAGTAGAAGCGCCATCTAGCGAATACTCAATTTAGGTATGAGGCACATGAGGAATGAATGAGAACGCGTGAAGAACCATCCGTGTTTTTTGTCCTCAATTTTTATAATGAAATTTTTTACCCATGTGTAACTTAACCTAAAATAATAAATAATTGTTGCACTAAAGAAATATTTCATGAGCCCAACCACAAATCTATCTAATTTGGTTTAATTTTTTAATGTCCAATGCTCTACAATTCTAGCATGTTACAAATTATTTTCCTTTATCTCTTATAAACAACATTTGATTGAATGTGTTGTAAATCTTCATTACGATTGTCTTCAACGTGAAAAAGAAATCGCACGTACTCGTATTTTTATTTGAGTCAGAACGTCACATTTATCACAGTTTTTTGTTCAGACACATTTAAAGTCTAATCAAACAACCACTGAAGCTTTTCCATAACTACTGCTTTAATTTATTGCTCGAATTGATTACTCTAGTAGCTGCTGAAAGTAATTCAATACTCAATCTAACAGCAGCTGTAAAAATACACAAAATATTCAAATTTTCATTTTTTGAGAAGCTTTAATGACCTCAAAGGAATATCTGTCTCACCGGGTTTATATCCTATCCACTCCCTACAATATCGTTAATGACACTCTAAAAGAACTTTTCTGTCACACTGATTTATGGAACTTTCCATTAAATTAGGTACACACGTCATACTTCATAATGACGTCACCGCCTATAAATCAAGAAAGGAAGCGATCCAATTATAAAGTGTTTTAATCCGTAAACATGCAGAAGTCATAGCACAATTTATTTAGATTAGTGATATATAGGTATTGTGTCACTCTTCAATGCAAAAATAACTTTAGGCACCAACGCACTTATTAATTTATGTGTTTGTAATCCGATACGTATCATTGATTAAGTACGTTTCTACGAGAAACTATCGATCGCTGCGCCACCTTCTTTCCGTTTTCGGAAGTTGATTGATTATTTGCTTGTTTTTAGATATGGTCATCAGCTTGGTTAATTGCCGTGTTCCGGTTCTCCTTAGCCGCAAAAGTGAATCATAAATGTGTCAAAGATCCAATTTAGGATGTAAAAATTTAAAAAAAATAATTAGTATATTTTCCGTTTTTCTGATGAAGGAGGTGAAACTCCAATGAATTTTAAGAAATAGCATGGAAAAGGAAGTTTTCTCCGATGTCCTCAATATTTATCTGATGAAAAAAGCTAAATTTTTAAAATGAAGCTATCTAGTATAAAATGAACAAGTAAAATAAGAGAAATTTTTTTTATATAAATTCCTACTTAGATCAACAAAGAAAATTTTTATTTTAGTTACTTTTTTTATTAAATAGTTACAATTAATATAAATGTGTATATTCATATACATTGAAATTTTCCATTCTATAAGTGGTGTTTTTTTGTTAGTTACTATTCTCATTCATTCATTATATTTAATAATTCTAATTAAATAGTATAATAAAAAAGAAATCAAATCTTTAGAATATACGCCGTCCCAGATGGAATTCAAAACCACGATCCCTGGATTAGAAGTCCAACGCGTTATCCATTGCTCTACAGGGACACTACAAAAGGTTTTCCTTTTATATATGCAGTTTTTTTTGTTACTATTTATTCATTTTTTAATTTAATTAGTGATTTAATATTTAAAAAAAGCTTTATTAGCATTAAGTGTCATCCAATCTACAAGTTTTAAAAATATATTTGAACTTGAATGGATGATTAGAAAGTATTTTATTAACGATTGTATATATATATATATATATATGTGTGTGTGTGTGTGTTTCATGTTCAATGCATAATAAACAAAATTAATTAATCACAAAGGACTGCCTTATCAATCCCATCCAAAAATATAATATCAACCATCATAAATAATGATCTAAATAAGAAATCCCTTCTACCGGCCACGTCATGATAGGGAGAGAGTGAGCCAATATTAGGAATTGGAAAATGATCCTTAAAGGCACAATTTCGAGGTTTTTCACTCACTTTATATTTTTAAAAATTTTACAGTGTTTAATTATACAAAAATCAATGAAAAAATTTATTTTTAAATTTTTATGGGGGAAAATAAAGTATGATCTGGTGTGATTCTGAGGCAGTTTAAGTTTTTACTCTAAAATATTTGTACTTAAACAATCCAACTATGATGGTAGTATTTATTGTATAAAGGTAAATATGTTTACTTTAAATCGCAATTTCTAGAAAATGTAAATTACAAATAAAAAGAAGCATTTTCGAAAATTCTATTCTTCTGATAATTTTTAAGCTCTTTGCCCACATATTAATATTATATAAATGAATATTAAAATGCCATATTTTGTATGTGTGTCAAAGAAGTTATGCAAAATTTGTACGGGTGAAAATGTAGATTAAACTGTATCGTTTGGAAAATTTTTCCATGAAACCCAACATATTAATTTGTAAAAAAAAAAAATAATAATAAAAAAAAAATTTAAAAATGCTTTTGTTAAAATAATAATGATGATGCAATAAATTATGCACATAAGAAAATTTATGTTTATGTGATGAGTCAATTTTGAACTGACTATGGTAATTTCATCAAAAATAGGGCTTAATTTTTTCTGGTTTAGATAATATTTTAATTTAAATTGTTATAATTTCTATTTTAGTGTTACACAGTTTTATATTTGTTTGTTTTCTAAACTTTCTAATTTTCTTGCTTATTGTTGTAGCTTACAATTATTATGTGATACCGTGAATCAACAGAACTTAAACAGAAATTAACAGTAGAACTTAAAATAAGTTTTGTTAACAGAAACTTAGATTATAAGGTACTCACGTATTAAAGTCACCTTAGCAAAATTGGTGAAACACAAATCACACCTCAATATCAAAGCAACAAAGATCCCTAATGTATTTTATATGAAAAACTAATCAGTCAGGATTTGGCAGAAAATAGCACGATGCATGAGGTACCAATTTGGCTGCGGGGACCGTTAATACGTAGTTACTGATAATAATTATTCATTCATCAACACAAATATGAGTGGAGTTCTGAGACAATGAAATTACCTACACTTCTTGCCTGCTTTTATTCTCATGTTCAAAAAATATCTGTTACAAAGTTTATTTTTTGTTAGAAAAAACTTTATTGCTTTTTCTTATTCATCGGAAAATTCTAAATCCCGTTTATTATAACCAATATAGAAGAAACATTATATTCCAATTATTTATCCATTGTATTTACTCATATGTTTGTTCTTTTCGACTGAATAACAAATATTTGTAACTAAAATATTTCAAAAAAATAATGTTTAAAAAATTTATTTTCTATCAACAAGGTTTATTATTTCTCTCATCAGGTTCATAATGGTTTTTTTTCTATGTATGTCTTTTTTATCTATTTTAGATAGTTTTATGTTATTTTAGTTTTTAATAATTTATTCTTTTTTACTATTGTATTGCATCAAAATTTTATATTAAATTTAATATAGATGTTACTCAGTATTACATCTATTCCTCAAGTAATATTAATTCAATGGTACAGCGAATTTAAAATTTGCGGTTTATTATAGTGTAGGCCTATTTTTTTTTAGATATATTTTTTAAAGTTTGCACTAAATTAAGTATTTTACAGTTGAAGACTACTTAATATTTGTTATTTATGATAGTATTTTTTTTTTGGCGAAATGGCTTATCACACATAATAATTTTTTTCCTTCTGGATTTTATATTTCGTAATTATTTCATTCATAGTTCCCATAGCAGAAATATACTACTGTTATTATCTCTCTGTTATAATTTTTATCTATATTTTCAATCTTTCATTTCTATTTACCTTTTTAGCATGTTAATTTCCTCTCTTACATTCAAATATGTTTTTATGAAATTATCATATACTATAAGGCCAAATTGCAATTCACTTGAAATTATTTATAATGTAAACACTCATTAAAAACAATTATTTTTAATTTTTGTATACACTATCTTGCAATGGATCTACCCTTTTTTAAAAATATCATGTTTGCTAAAAAAGCTGATTTTTATTTATTTTAAAATTTAACCTGTGCGAAGAAGTAGTATATAATTGCCAAAAAATATTTTGGTACACTTACGATTCATTTAGACCAGTGTATCCGCTATAATACATACATAAATTATTTCAAAGGATTTGAAATAATTTTTTTAAAAGCAGGCATTAATTTCTTTGTAATATATGAATTTACTTCACTACATTTCGAGAAGAATTTTAATTTTATGAATTACATTTTAATCACTTTTAAGCAAATTAAGACTATTCTCTAAAAAATCTTGTTCACCATCCCATTTCTTAAGATTTATTATTTTTTTATTTATATATTTTGTTTTAATAATAATGCATACATAAATTTTAGTGATAACATTTGATGGAGTTTGTTAAATTTCAATAACTTACTTGATGATTTAACTCATAAAATATACTTTTATAATTCGGAAAATTACAGGGTTACTTTAAAAATTAGCTTATTCTTTAAGGAAATTTGTGGTTTGCAATAGCAAAAAAAAAGTATTAAGAGTAAGATAAATTATAATTTTCCAGAAGAAAGGAAAATACATTCACCGCTTTAAAGAAAATGCTCCTAAAATACTTTTGGGGCAAAGTAAATGTCTTTAGCTATTTCACACAGTCTACCTTAATATAAACAGTTTTTATTTATTAACTCATTTTCTGTAATTAAATGATTCAATAATTTAAAAATTGAATATATGTTTTAAGCAAATTCGAAAATGTATCATGTATTATTGTTTATTTGATGTCTACATTTCATGAAACGAAATACATAAAACATCATTATAGAAAGCTCATGAATGAATATGCACATCACGCTTACAAATTCCTCTTTGAAAATATCAATAAAAATTTAAATTTTACAATAGCAATGACTTTAATACAAAACAATTTCTTTTTACGAGGAATTTGAACCCTCAACGAACAATATTTTGCGAAATCAATGATTCACAATTGTTCAAAGTTTGTTTGAGAAATGCAGCTAAATTAAAACTGGTATCATTAAATGCATTCAAAAGCTTGTATCGTTTTAATAAAAGAAGCTTAAATTGCCCCAAAACTGATGTTTTAATCCTCAAATTAATGAATTAGTGAAGCTAAGTTCATTTACAGTAAAAAGTTACTTAATATTAGCTGAAACAAGCAGATTAATTAATTTTTAAATTAACTTAGATCTTTCATTGAATAGGCTTGACCTTAGCCAAAAGTTTAGGCAATATATATATGTATGTATATACTCGTGTCCTTTATTTAAGGATAATTTAGAATCACATGGAAACGGAGCTCTTGACTAAAATTTTCACTTGTAAATTTATCACACACATCTTCAACAATAATTTGCAGATTACAGGAAGTCACCTATAATACGTCACAATGAAGAAGAGGTATATAAGGAATGATGGAAAAGAAGTCAAATTATTATCAAGTGTTTTGTAAGCTAATTGACATTACCGAATAGGTATTACACGGAAGAAACCTGAGGGTATTTTTTACGTTGTAAATATATCGGCAGTATGGAATAAAGCGTATTGAGATGGAAGTATCAGAAGAACTTGGAATTACCCAATGTATCATCTCTAGGTTTTGGCAACGACTTCAAGATGACGGAAATGTCAGTTGACGTTACAATACAGATCACCCCTAGGTTACAACACTGAATAAAGACCAATGTTATGGCAGCAACTCCAAAAAGAAGTAGACGGAGTATGGCATCCGACCTGTCCCGTCAACTATCTTCAGCCACAGGTACGACAGTTTCAAAACAAACCGTGAACAGGCGTTTGGAACATATAGGTCAATATGCTCGCAGGCTTTTTAGATGTATTCCACTCACGGCAACTCACTGTCTCCAATGGTTAGCCTAGAGTTGAGAACATGCAGTGCGTGTGTATAAAGCGTGTGTGTATAGTGTGTATGTGTACAGTGTGTTTCTGTGTTGTGTGTGTGTGTGTGTGTATAGACATCGTCATGGTGGGCACGTGTGATGTTTTTTGTACAATCCAGGATTAGCTTGAAGTCTGATTCACCTCGGATTTTCATATGGGGAACGCCAGGTACCCGTCACCTCCAATTCAACATAATTAAACTCCACGGGTGCGTTGGTGCAAGATTGCGCGTTAGGGGGAAATTTTTCTTGGCTCCAGAATACATTTGCATGTTCAAACTGGAACCATGACAGGCCAAATTTATTGTTACATCATTCTGAAGCAAAATTTACTTTTGTTTAGGGGTGCCATGAGATTGATGTAAGTGCAAGCAGAGTCCTTTCAAATGCGAAATGATGACACTTAAGTAATCGTTTAACAGCTAGAATTTTGTGTGTGTGTGTGAATCCAATCATGCAAACGTACATTCAATATGTCTTAAAGGTACCGGATATCAATTTTTGGGATGGAATTACATGCCTGTTGATGTTGCATGGTTAAAATAAAGGTTCTTATTTCTGGTTGTGAAGGATGGTGGATTTGCCATCCATCGATGTTCTATTTATACTCGATTGGAGAAAGATCCAGTAATCTCGCAGTCCAAGGAAACACCTTGATACTCGA